TCCATCAACATTTTTAATTCTAGCCACAATAAATCTCGCATAGATAGAACTAGCCATCCGTTAAATCATCCATGAGGCTTAATGAAAATATACTATTACCTAAAACTCCTCAAGTATTATTTTCTTTGCAGAGACAAGATCTTTGTCCTCTATGTAGAGTTTCAATAAGCATATCCCCATTGTAGTGTATCTTTTCTTTTAAGAACACTTCATCAAGCAACAAAAGTGCAACACTATAAAACTATAAGAAATGGACCCATTGATAGATCATGCCCTAAAACACCATCATACCATATGTGAACAAAACAAAGGTGTTAAATATTAAATTCCTTCATAGAGATAATTTCCACAACAAGCATGTGTCTGCTACAATTTAGGAAAAAGAAAGGTGACATAGCAAACCCCTCTTAATGCATACTATATGGCATTCAAACATAGTATATCTTCATTCAACAAGAAAGATTCCAAGTAACCATTTGTACAACCGCCTTGCATACACTTAACAGGAATGTGCCACAATCTTCTATCACCTACACATGAGGTTCTAAACACCATTACATGCTGTAAGCTAGCAACAAATGCAGATTTTATACACGAAAGCTCAGATTTCAAGCAACATAAATCATGTCATAAGGCTCATTCACATTCCATGAGGTTATCTTACACATATTTCTAGAGAAAATACTTTGTAGGTTAGAAAACTTACATTTCCAATGAGTGCAGAATTTTCCTTACAATAAAACCCATGATAAAAAATCAAAGGAAATGGAATTAAGAGCAAATAGAAAAGCTGCAATGCTACAGCAACCCAAACCATCAAATTTTTTTTATAATAAAGCCATCCACAACACATAACGTGAACAATCATTTGAGGAAAGGATCAAGCCTACAATAATCTCACAAAAGAAGAACTTGAAACTCAAAAGCCCTCATAACACGTATAGCATGACACTCAAATACCTGGCAATTTCATTCGACTAACTAAGGCAGGAAAAGAAAGAGGAGAAAAACCTGCCGTTTTGAAGGGGATCGGCCGGCTACGACAAGGGAGGCGAAGCCTAGGTTGTCGGGTTCAGTCCAGAGAAGGTGGCGTCGGAGATTCTGCCATCGGGATCGGCGGAGCTGCTGACGGACGGGACGACGGGCTTGGTTCGGAGAGGGTAGTCGTGGGTTCGGTCCAAGTGTGTGAAGCCGGGAGAGGGAGAGCTGCCGGGTTCAGCCCTAGGAAGCGAAGCCGAGAGCGGGAGAAACGGGAGGAAGACGGAGAGAGCTCGGCTCGCCTGGGATTTGCGAAAAAACAAGAGAGGAGGAAAGATGGGGTTCGGCCTTTGGCCTTCTGCGAACCAGAGGAGACGGAGAGCCAGCGGGGCTTCGGCTCTTCTCCAACCCAAAGAAGATGAAGAGCGGGAGGAAGAGGCGGACGTTCCTCTGGCTTGTGCGAGTGAAGAGGGGGTCAAGGAGGAAGAGAGAGGCGAACTGGCCAAGTCCCCCAAGAGGCGGCGTGAGTTAGAGGCTTTGGCCTCAGTTAGGGCATTAGAGAAAAATAGGGGAAATCAGAGCCGTCCATCGCATTTTCGGATCTAACATCATATTCAAAATTTTCAAAAGGCAAATTGGCATTCAATTGAAATTATTTTAGGCTGAATTGGATCAAATTGGAGTCCAGATCGGACTTGATTTAACTCGAATTGAGTCGATTTGGGTTTGATTGAATTCACCTCGGACTCGACCAAACTAATCAAAATTAAATCAGAATCAATCAATGATTTAAATCAAATCAAACCCGACGATGCTATAAAAAAAATGAACGAATCTAATTTAAGCGAATGCAATTGGGTCTAATTTAACCCAATTTCGAGTCGATTCAAGTTAGATTGAAGTCTCATCAAGTTAATTTTAATGGAATCAAATTTACATCAACTCAATCAGACCTAAATCAACATCAACTTGAATTTAACTAGGCTTGATCAACACGAGCAAACACATTCGAGTGTAAATCAGGACAAAAACGAGGTCAACAGAAGGCATTGAGTGGAGGATCTCCACCTCTCCCTAACGAAGGTTTCTCTTTTCCCTTGTATCCTATTCCTTTTAGTCTAAACTCTCTTTGGTTTGATTGCAGTCACGACGGACTATTTCGCATTGCTCTTGCTTAAGCTTAGCAATCGTAGGATTTGAGTACACCTCAATGCATCCTAATTCTCAATGTTAGATTAGGGATTAGTTTGAAAACTACTACGGTTCATAGTGTTGTTTTTCTATTTATTTTGGAAGCTTCAAAATTCTTATCATGTGATTTTAAACCTAAGCGGATAACCACTAATTGCTTTATTTCGTTGTTTGAATTTGCTAGTAGATTTGTTCTAGAATTATTCTGATTATAAGTTGTGCAAAATCTAAGTGAATTAACCATTGCATACGTAGTCCTGCATCAGTAGGTGGGATATGTAATTCGACTCATTTTTTTCAACTTGTGATTGTTGCTTGGCACAGGATCATATTATGGTGCTTAATTCAAGGAAATCCTTTTTTAAACAAAAATTATGCAAGGGTTTCTTCAGATTTGACTGTTTGCACTTGATATGCGGATATATATTGCCTATGCAAGACATCTAAAATCAGAGTTTTTATTTTTATTTTCTAATAAGTTTTGTTCTTATCATAACGATGCATTACTTATTCATCTTTAACTCTTAGTTATTTGTGTAGGACTACAAGCACATGTGATGTTATTAAATTTGAAATTACACGCTCATGATAAGAACAATAATAATTAATCAACTTCTCACGTATTAAACAAAAGATTGAAGCCAGCAAGATAGTGATTAAGCTCAGGCAATCAATTAGATAATAATATTAGGAGCACAAAATAATCAAGTTAAATCAAACCCTGTTGATGTCCCTCGATTAACAATTAGATTATTCACTATAAGCATCCACTCACACACGCTCATAATAAGGGCTAACGGAGAAGCCTTCATAATTTTAACGATGCCACAATCGAGGAGTTAAAGATAAAAGGTTTAGGTCCTTAGGAGAAGAGTTTACCATTCTCAAGCTTCTGGACTATGCTCCAACATTCTCCAGGATCTGGCCGTTGATCGTCCTTGGATGCGCTTTGAAGCAAACACACCTTGTAGTCGACAAGGGATTGAAGTGCCAGAATGGTTGGCATGTGGCCGACCAAGGGAGGAGGATTTATTTCTCCTTCTTAGGTGAAAACATCAATCAAAGGAGAAGAAGTGTAGAGAGGTGGGTGGGGTGCTTATGGCCGGTCCTAGAGAGGTGTTTAATTCTTTACTTGGGGTGATGAGTAAGGAAGGGTAGCAAACAGGAAACTCTGAATTTAACTCCAACAATTAACAAAATTCTGGAACCGATTTCTTGTCTAGGTGGCATGCGAATTAAGACAAGAATCAATTGGGGTTTAATAGGAATTAATGGTTGCTTTAAGTGAAGGAGAGATTGGGGGAGATTTGAATTTAAATGTCCATACAAGCACATCCTAATGGGAGGGGAATTCATTGGGGAGCATTAATGGGAGTAACAATTAGAGGAGATAGGGGTGGGGCAGCAAGGCTATGGAGGGGGAATTAATGAGAGGGTTTGAAGAGGTTGCTAAATTTAGGACACTAAATGAGGAAGGAAATTTAGGGCAACCTCTATTCAAATTAATGTTAGCAATATTGGGGGAAACCTTCCTAACATAACTCTCCTCATTTGGGAAAGAAATTTCAAATTCAAATTTACTTGAATATGAAATTATTGACTTTCCAATTTTATAATGAGCCAAGTTAGGAAAGTAGTGAATGCTAGGTTTGAAATTTTGGGAGTCAAGGAGAAGGGGTGGTGGCCGGCGGTTTAGTGGAGGTCGGCCAAGAGTTGGGGGAGAGGGAGGCCGGCGGCTAGGAGGAGATGGGGTGGGGTTTTCGGCCAGGAGAGAAAGAAGGAAAAAAAAAAGGAGGGGGGAAAAGTTTCAGCCAAGAGAGAAAAGGGAAAAGGGGAATGGTGGCTAGGGGAAAGGGAGGGGAGGGAAGTTAGCGAAGGAGATTGATCTCGAGCCCGGACGCTTCCTGCGGCTGATGGGTGTTGCCTTGCCCTCGCTTAGGGACTTCAAACCCCCTCACAAGAGCTCTCACAACTCTCTAAGAAACAAAGTGCAAAAGTTTTTTTATCATCATAATCATCATCCTCTCCAAAGAGGGGATTGTCATCCTCTCCGAAGAGGGGAAGAGGTCTATAAATAGCCAAAATATAATAACATGTCTAATGACAAAAGTGCCCCCTAGGATTACATAAGCCTACTATCCCGAATGAGGGTAAAACATAAAATATACATAAATAAATCAAATATAAATAAAAGCTAAAAAATAAAGTGGTCCAATGATCCAATCATAGCCGTAGATTTTCGGCCCCTTCTCTGATAAGATTTTCACGGTTGGATGTCCTCATCATTATTGATTGTTATCTTTTTCATTTCTTTTATTCATTTTTAATATTTTCCAAGTGTAGAATGTTTACTTGAAACATTTCCGAAGGTCTTTACCTTCTAATATACTCTCAGGACATTAAAGAGCCACAAACAATATACTTATCCAAAAACTTAAAACAGCTTAATTTAAATATTTTTCATTGAAATTTGTGACACATTTATCAATTTTGTTTACCATTGTCCTGCAATTCGGAAGGATTATAATATGAAAAAAAAATTATGTCGGGATATTTTGACATGTTTTGCTTCAGGAATGGCCTAAGTCTTATGAATTTGCATTAAGATTAATGCAACAGGCTTATATAATTTTTTTCTCATAATATGTAACCCTGTTACTAATTATGCTGTGTTTGGGAAAATAGGATGTTCAGCTTTTAATTGTCAGCGATTTTAAAAAATAAACTCACTATTATTGTAGCAAACTTCTGTTCTTGTTTTCTCTTACATAGATCATCACTAATAAGCTTTATCTATTTTTCTCTAATAGTTTGACCCAACTTGTGCTTAGGGCTATCTTGGTCTAAGTGGGGCCATACTAATTCAAGTATATGCCACAGTGTATGGCAACGACCGAAGTTATTTTCTTCTAATGCTGTCATTATTGCCAACCGCTCTGGCGCTTCTGCTTATGTATTTTGTGAAGGTTTATCCATCAAATTTCCAAGATGACAGACCATTTCTAAACGTTTTCTCCCTAATTGCTCTGATTTCTGCTGGGTATCTAATGGCTTTTATAATACTGGAAAATATTCTGACTTTAGGATCTTCAGTTCGCAGCCTGACTCTTCTACTTCTTCTTATTTTACTTATCTCACCAATAATCATCACTATGAAAGGTCATTTGAGAGACTCCATGCTTCCATCAGCAACCATCTCTCATGAAAGGTTGCTGTTAGCTAACCCTGATGATCCATCTGAAGTTCCAGATTTGGAAACAGAGTCAGAGGAAAACTTGAATCTTTTTCAGGCCATGCAGAACTGCAACTTCTGGCTGTTATTTATTTGCATGGCGTGTGGCATGGGCTCAGGCTTGGCCACAGTCAATAACATTAGTCAGATTGGTAGTTCTCTGGGTTACAAAAGCACTGAAACAGCCACCTTAGTTTCTCTTTGGAGCATATGGAATTTCATGGGTCGATTCTGCACAGGCTACATCTCTGATCATTTCTTCCGCTCTCGTCGCATTGCGAGGCCGCTTTTAATTGTGATCACGCTCGCATCTATGAGCGTTGGCCATGCGGTCATCGCTTCTGGTCTTCCAGGTGCTCTATATTTGGGTTCTGTGTTGGTAGGGGTCTGCTATGGTTCTCAATGGTCCCTCATGCCTACAATCAGTTCAGAGATATTTGGTTTGAGACATCTGGGCACTATATTTAATGCCATTGCAATTGCAAGCCCCTGTGGATCGTATTTACTGTCTGTAAGAGTGGTTGGATATATATATGATATGGAATCTCACAAGAGAAGCTGTGTGGGCAATCACTGCTTCTTGCTTTCTTTTCTAATTATGGCAGTTTGTACTCTTATGGGATCTGGAGTTGCCTTGGCTTTGTTTTTCAGGACTAGGGAGTTCTATGAGCAGGTTTTGTATGCCAGATTAAGGAATTTAGCTGTTTATTAAAGAAGATAAAACTGTGGTTAAGGGATTTTGTTGTTCTTTGTTACTATGGTGTATTTTGTGAAGTTTAAAAGCTGAGCGTGTAGAAGTTTCTTTGGTTGTAGAGTTGGAATGAATGGTTTGACTTGGATTTGGATTTGATAAATAGCTCGTCAATTGAGTTCATTTAAATGAAGGAGTTATATCTGAGTCGTTTTTGACTTTTGTTAGGTAGTGAGTAAACATAGTTAAAAAAATTATTTACACAGCTCATTTTGACCTGTTGGTTGAGAACTTAGGCTTTCAATTAAAAGGTCTTGGGTTCGAGTATTTGTCTATGCATTGTGTGTGTGAGTTTACCTTAAATGTCCCAAAAAAAAATGCAAACTTTTGATGTGTTGCATTCCCTGTGGCAATGTTTGTTTTCTTGGGGCATAAAGAAGCATTAAGGTTTTATTTGGGGTAGTTTTTCTATTATTTTATAAAGTAATTTTTTAGAGCAATTTTTTTTTATTTGAAATTTTGTGTTAAAAAGCTGCTTCATTAAGTAGTAAAAAAAGTATTATAAATGAAGCTTAAATACTTTTTATTTAAGTAGGGCAAATTTTTAAAATGATTACTTGTTAAGACCTTGATTATTTATTAAAGCAACATAAAATAAATTTAGAACTATGCAAAGTCTCCCATTTAATGAATGATTTGCTCAAGTTATAAAAATATTTAAAAAAAGATTGTAGGAGAGAGAAAGAATGAAAGAAATAAATTAGAAGGGATGAATTAAAGGAGAGAGAAAAAAAGTAGAAGAGATAACTAAAAAATATAAAATTTATTTATTTTTCATGTTGTTTTTTTTTAGGGAAAATATTTTTCATGTTGTTTTTGAAGAGGAGGTACATCAGAATTTTATAATCTTTTAATTAAAATTTTAAATGCAAATATTTTTTCTTACTTTTTAATAAATAATTTAGAATGAAAATTTTTATGAGTTATTATATGTCAAAAAAATTTACAATTTAGTTTATAATAATAAATTTTAAAATACATTTTTTTAATATTTTTGTTCATAATATATTATTATTATTTTAAATTCACTTAAGGAAAATAATATTTTATATGATAAATTATTTTTTCATTACAAATTATATGAAAATAAGAAATAAATATTTATTTGAAATATTATTTCTTTCAACAGATAAATTTAAAATAATAATAATATACTATGAATAAAAAAATTATGAAAAATATATATTTTAAATTTATATGATAAATTAAATTACGAAATTTTTTTACACAATAACTCATAAAAAATTCATTCTAAAATTTATTAAAAATAAGAAAAAATATTTACATTTAAGATTTTAATAAAATAAAATAAAAAAAATCTGAATTACCTCTCTCCAACACATGAAAAAAAAAAAAATAGTTTTGATTTTTTATTATATTTATTATTTCCTAT